TGACAAGCTGTTATTTTCATTCTTTTTTTTTTTATGTAAAGAGAAGAAAACGAAACGTTGCCCCGATTTGTTTCATGCTAAATTGACGTGACAAAATTCACCCATCCATTTTCTAATTGTTTATCCTCACACGGGTATCCCAGCTCTCTTTTTTTTCTCACGAAGCGCCACCTCTAGAAAGGAAGACGGTCGTGTCCTTCAAATCTCAAATATCGGTGCGATCGTTTTGATATGATCAGATATCGATGCGGGCATAGGTGGCGATTGGTTGTACTGTATGTGGTTTTCTAACATTAAGCCACTTGAAGCTTTTTCTCTATTGTGAACGTCTACTCCTGGGGGGGGGGGGCTTCATGCCTTTGATATTTTTCGAGGTTGGAGTGGCCATAGGAAGGAGTAATCGTCGGTTTCTGACTTTCAGCCACGTTCATCCTTTTTATTGAAAGCGTCTCAGACTGTCCCGACCCTTGTCAAATTTAGTGAGGGACAGCCTCAGTGTACACAATCCGATCAACTGTCAGAAAAAAAAGGACATTTTGATGTGTTTATTTTTTTTTTTTTGTGCGTGTCTTGAAAGAAAATCATCAAATTATCATGTGAAAGAATGACATTTCGGGTTTTTGGAGCGGAAAAGAACGCAGCACAGGCCACACAGCTGTGTGATGTAGTAGCAAGACTGACCTGTGAGAGGCAGCATCGCGCCAGAGGCCATCTAAGAACGATTTGGAAACTACAGTACAAAGAAACGGGAGGACGGTATTTGGAGTCGGAAATGATGCCGATTTTCCAGTAAATTTCTACGGGAGGTTAATGTGTCAAGAATAAAAACACGAAACAGTCCTTTTCCAACAACTCTTTATATATAAAACAATTACTCTGTACAATCAGAAGGAATCATTAAAATATATCCATTTTAAATAAACATTGAAAACAGGCTTGACAAAAAAAAAAAAAACAAAAACAAATTAAAAAATCCACAGATCACACAAACATACGCTCATAGAGTGTCTCACATGAACTATGTCGGACATCTTTTTTAACGTGTCTCGTGAAGACTCTTCAAAAAACATGCAAAATGATTTCAAATATGGGAACGCAGTTGCGTGTCTGTGTGTGTGTTTTATTTCAGTGTGGTCCTCCCTCCATCTAGGACTGACTAGGTGGATGAGCTCGGGCCCAAGAAGTGCTGAAAGAACTCCCTCGCCTTCCTCTTCTCCGCGAGGTCCTGCTTGGTCGGCGACCGCAGGAGCAACGAGGCAAAGATGGTGGCTGCAGATGGAGGTAACAAGTGTGTGATAAATAACAATTAGGAGCAACCCGAGAAAAAAAAAACCCAAACCAAACGCATCCTGGATGGCCCAAGGAGGTCAGGAAAGGCAGACTGCGGAAAAAGCTTTGATTGGAGTCTTACCTACGATGGTAACATCTAATCGGTTGCTGGCCGAATTCTTCAACAGCTCCCGCAAGAAGGCGGCTAAATAATTAAAAACATTTCGGTGGCACTGAGGTAGCGCGGAGACCACCTTGAAAAAGAGGGCGAAAGACGAGCGCTTTCTGAGATTTCTGAACAAGCGACGGGAGCGAACGAGCCGACGGCGGGGGGGCGCGCGGGACAAAGTACCTTTTCGCACTGGACGGCATCGGAGCAACACTCCAGGCACTGCCGGTAGAAGGCGAAGGGAACCACGGGCTCCGGGAGGGCGTCCAGGAAGAGAAGCAAAGCCTCCGCTACCGAGTGGTTGCCGCCGGCTGCCATTCGTGACCATGTCAAGGATGCGCCGTTTGCAAAGTACAGTGACGAGCTTCCGGTTTTGGGCCAATCCCCGTTTTGGGCCAATCCCCCCGGTTGAAAGGATACAGAGAGAATCCGCCGCGCCAGTGTCCAGACAGTCCCGTATTTCGGCAAATTCGCTGCGGAGTCCCGGTTGTTGAAAGATGTCTTCCTGCGGGGGGGGGCGACAACAAAGACTTCTCCAGCCGACGGCTTCTTTCAGTCGAGGCAAAATGACAATCCAAACTTCAAACCTGCTTGATTGCATTGCGAAACAAGTGATCCACCATCATCCAGAGTTCTTTGGGAATGTCCAGAGGCTTTTCCGCGCTTCCGGCGTTCTCGTGCACGGACGTCGCCGCCATCTGTCGGTTCAGCACAAACAGAGGCGACTTCATCCAAAGCCGTCGCGACCCCGAAAAAATGGACCCCCCCTCACCCAATAATAAGAATAATAATAATAATCGCCATCTGTCGGTTCGGCACAAACAGAAGGCGACTTCATCAGTGTTCAGTGTTCACCGCGAGATGGACGAGACCTCCAGCAGAGAACTGCCAGCCCCCCCCAAAATAAAAAAGTCTCAGCCTATCGGCCATGGAAAAAGCTACTGAATCAGAGGAGAGCCGCTTAAGGATTACGTTTGAGCGATACAAGATATTCAGATACTCTTCTCGACATGGTTAGAACGAGGCAAATGATTTTTTTTCAAAGGCGTCTTGTTATCAAGTGCGTTGCCTCCCAGTCGTGCTGCTGAAAAATGGTGGCAGCCTCCATTCTTGAAATTGCCCGTCTCTCATTGAGAGTCTCGGATGAAGCTGACTTGCGTATTTTTGGAAACACCCGAGGCCAGATCCCCCGAAAAAATGGACCCCCCCCCTCACCCAATAATAAGAATAATAATAATAATAAAGTCGGGCACCATTTGACGCAGGCTCTCCCGAGGCATGTCCCGGATGGGCTCCCTCAGCCGACACAGAACGCGGATGGGGGTGCCGTAGCAACTGGGCAGGTAGCTTCCCGTCACCGAGATGAAGTAGTCCTTGCCGCGCTCCAGGTGGAGAACCAGGATGTCTTCCATCTCTTGCTTGCCGGAATTTAAGTCGGGCGCCGTGGTGCGGTTGACGAAAACCTCCAGGTCGACGTCCGCGGAAGCGCCTGCGCTTGAAGAGAGCGCTCAGTCGGGCGAGGGGGCGGAGCCGCGGCGCAAAAGGACCCCCCGCCCACCGCCGCTCGAGCTGGACAACGGCCTTGGAGGCGGGTCACGCCGAGCGCGCGGCTCACCCTGAGCGATGAAGCCCTTGGGGGGGTTGGCCGTGAGCCAGGGCTTGCAGTACGTGGCCTCGTTTGGCTTGCGGATGAACTCGAACTGACACGGCACCTGGCCGTCGTTGACGATGCTCAGCGTCCTGGCCTGGTGCGCCATGTACTTCACCTCCTCAAAGTGGAACTGGCGGACGGACGAGGAGCCGCGGACAGAAAAGGAAGCAAGCGTGCTCGCCGGCGGCCGAAGAAAAACAAACCTTCGCTCCGTCGGCTAGGCGCGCCTCGTCGTCACCTTACCTCTCGTTTGGACAAGGTGACGGACGGAATGCACTCGTTCTCCATTTTGTCCAAATTGCGAACAATCTCTTCCAAGGTCTTCTTGTAGGAGTCGCCGTTCACTCTCTTGATCTGGACACAGTTGGCATGCGGTGAGGACGTTCCCCAGAGGTCACTTTCGCTCCCACTGCCTTTTTAAAGACATCAAGAAAGTGAAAAGGAGGTTTTTACTGACCCCGACGACGAGCAGGGAACTGACAGGTTTGTGATCGCTGGTCTTCAGCGTCATGTGACTCCGGTAATGCCGCTGACTGATGTCCTTCCCTCGCCACAAGATTCGGTCGCACCACGCGGGCACGCGGCATTTTTCACTGAAGGTGCGAGAGAACACGTTTCGGCTTGATTCTTGAAATCAAGAACGACGATCGACAACGACAGGCGGACTAAAGGTCGAGTTCAAGGATGTCAGATGACTCCGGAGACTCCTTTGGAAAGAGCTTTTAGCCGTCGACACGTTGGGCGAGCCTTTGTTTGGATAGTCTGCAGCCGCGCCCGCTTTAGAGCGCCTCGTTGTCCGCCGCCAGCCATTTTTTCATCACTATCGCTCAACCTGGGCCCGGGAGCCCGATCCACTCTCAGATTTCATTCGAAGAGCCGAAATAATACCTGGTGTCCCACAGGTCGGAGCCGGTGTCGTATTTGTAGGTGGGCTGGAAATCGATCTCCCCCTCGGCGAAGCCGACGAACACCGCCTCCTCTTCGATCTGCCTTTTGAGCTGCCGGCCGACACGAGCGTCGGACATCAATCGATCGATCCATCGACGGGAGTGCGCAACGCAAAAACAAGGTCACGCCGATTACCTGATCGTACGCGTGTAGCATCTCAAAGTCCTTCTTGCCGATGAGGTCCTTCACGTCGGCGGCGTCCAGGTCGCTGATCCTGTAGTTGAGGTCGCCGATCCAGAAGACCACGCTGAGCGGGCAGAGAGAAAGAAAATCCAGCCGGTCCAACGCGGAGGCCCTCAAGACGCGCGCAACAACAACAAGAGGAGCGCAGCGCGTCCTACTCGTGCTTCATGATGGTCAGCGGCGGCCGCGCGGGGTCCGCCTGGCGAAACTGCAGCCGGCCGCAAATGTCTTTGTAGTCCTGATTGCGCCTCTCGTACTCTTCCACGTGCGCCGCCAGGTGGCAGTTGACCACGCAGACGTCCGAGTTGTGGAAGCGAAAGCGCACGCCCACCGCGCCCTTGTTGCCCTGCGGCCAGCGCGCCGGGGGGGGGGGTCAAGACCGGAAGAGAGCCGCCGCCGGCGGCCAACCCGTCCGTCCTTACCATCCTCCCCATAATGCCGGTTCCCACCGACTCGGCCTCCACGTCCGAAATGAACTCGGCGTGCT